TCTTTCTTTCTTTCTTTCTTTCTTTCTTTCTTTCTTTCTTTCTTTCTCTTTCCCTACCTACCTACCAACCAACCAACCAACCAACCAACAGATTAACAGAGTCAGAAGGGATCTTGTAGGTCATCTAGTCCAACCCCCTGCCCAAGCAGGAGACCCTACGCCATTTCTGACAGATGGTAGTCCAGTCTCTTCTTGGAAGCCTCCAGGGATGAACCTCCCACAACTTCTGAAGGCAACTCCTGTTCCAAATTCCCTAACTGCAGGCTGTCTGGGTTATGTTGGACTCCAATTCCCCTCTTCCCCAGCCAGCAGGGCAAATACAATGGGTTTATTTGATCAATCAATCGATTGATTAGCAAGCAAGTTACACCACTGTGAAAAAAAGGGACATGGCCATTTTTTTTTCACACTTACGACCCTTGCAGCATCCCCCGTGGTCACATGATTCAATGCAAAATCTTGGTAGCCTCACATTTACGACGGTCGCAGTGTCCCAGGGGGGTCACGTGATTTCTCCTTTGGCGACCTTCCAGCAAGCAAAGTCCGCGGGGAAAGGTGGATTCGCTTAACAACGGTGGCAAGCAAAGTCGTAGAATGGGTCAAAGCTCATTGAACAAGCGACTCGCTTAGCAACATAAATTCTGGGCTCCTTTGAAGTCGTAAGTTGAGGACTACCTGTTGAGGTAGTTCCCCGTTAGGAGAATGAGCGCATACAGGGAGACGTATTTGAGAGGAGTGTTTGAATAATACACACACAGAACACACAGATACACTGTACAGTAAATGTAGGTTTTTACTTCCAGAAAGGTTTAAGCAAAGTCCAAAATAAGCAGTCCAAAGTCATTCACAAGTTAAATCAGTCAGTTTTCAATCCAGGGATAATCCAAATATCAAAGTCCAGTGTCAAAAAACAGTTCAGTAACAGACTTACATTAAATCCAGTAATATCAGTCAATTAGAAGAAATGGACGAACGGCAATATTTTCCAACAGAAGGAAACAGAGATGGAGACACACTCTCTTCTGAGATTAAGACTAAGACAAACCAGGTTTCTGGCTCCATCTTATGGCCGTTTGAGAAACCACACCTAATTACAGTTTTGCATTTTCTTAAAGATACAGTTTTAAAATGTCTATCCTGGTTTATATATTTCTAACCCAAATATCTGTTAGGTGACTTATATTCCTAACACTACCTGTACATCCCTTCCCCCAAAGCCATTTCCTGGCTTACCTCTGTCTCTCTTCTGCCCGCAGACCAGAGGATTGGCACCTGCTTCTCGGCACTGATCGGTGGACGGTGCGCAGGGGAGCTTCCTGGCCAGTACACCAAGATGCAGTGCTGTTGTGACTCCGGCCGCTGTTGGGCCATTACACAAACTCCAGAGATGTGCCCCGTACGGGGATCAGGTGAGTAATTTGCCTAAGACCCGCACAGCTCCCTGGAGCAGTGGTCGCCAACCAATGGGCCAGGGATCACTGGTGGTCTGCAAAGAAATGTCCCCCCCAAAGCAATTAATCCGGGCTGCGCGGGAAAACAAGGCTGCACCGCCCACATGGCCCATGGGAACACAAGGCTTGTGTCGCTTGCATTGTGAACAATATGAGGTAGTGGGGGGAAGGGCAAAGGAGGGGGGGACTTGCCCCACTTGCCCCCCGCGCCTGGCCTGGCCACCAGACTGCTCCTTTCTGCTTCTTCTTCTGCTTTTGGCTGCACGCAAGGAAAGCAGCCAAAGTCTTTCTTTCTCTCTCCCAAACTCCGCCAGAAATGAGTCTTTGGGACCCAGCAAGGCCTCCTGCTCCAAGAGGCTGTGCTGGTGCGAGAAGTTTCACAAAGACTCATTTCTGGCGGAGTTTGGGGGAGAGAAAGAAAGACTTCTGCTGCTTCTGCTGCTTTCCTTGCATGAAGCCAAAAGTCTCTCTCTCTCTCCCCTCCTGAGAACGGAGCTGGAGACGGTATCCTGCGATCCCAAATAAAGAACGATCGATCAGTAGGAAAACGGGGTGGGGGATTTTCCTGCAGACTTTTGGGGGGATTTTCCCAGGGTCTTTGGTCTGCGGGATTTAAAATTATGAGTTTGGTTGTCCCTGAGGTCCAAAAGGTTGGCGACCCCTGCCCTGGAGGGACTCGGGGCAACATCACACTCCAGAAGAGGCCTAAAGAAGAACAATAGATGAGTTGCACAACAGTCAGGCTGCAAATCTGTTGTATTTCCTCCATTGGGATTAGATGCTTGGAGCTTCTCTTTAATTGTTCTCATCAATGTTGCCATGTCCTTGGGAACTTCTCTTTAGTTATTCTCCCAAAAGAAGCTCCAAAAGACACGGCAATATTGATATGTGGCTGTGTCTTTTGGAGCTTCTCTTTAATTATTCTCATCAATGTGGCTGTGTCTTTTGGAGCTTCTCTTTCATTATTCTCATTAATGTGGCTGTGTCTTTTGGAGCTTCTCTTTAGTTATTCTCCCAAAAGAAGCTCCAAAAGACACGGCAATATTGATATGTGGCTGTGTCTTTTGGAGCTTCTCTTTAATTATTCTCATCAATGTGGTTGTGTCTTTTGGAGCTTCTCTTTCATTATTCTCATTAATGTGGCTGTGTCTTTTGGAGCTTCTCTTTCATTATTCTCATCAATATGGCTGTGTCTTTTGGAGCTTCTCTTTAATTCTTCTCATCAATGTGGCTGTGTCTTTTGGAGCTTCTCTTTCATTATTCTCATTAATGTTGTGTCTTTTGGAGCTTTTATTTTATTCTCATCAATGTGGCTGTGTCTTTTGGAGCTTCTCTTTCATTATTCTCATTAATGTTGTTGTGTCTTTTGGAGCTTTTATTTTATTCTCATCAATGTGGCTGTGTCTTTTGGAGCTTCTCTTTAATTCTTCTCATCAAGGTTGCTATGTCTTTTGGAGCTTCTCTTTAATCTCATTATTGCTGCCATGTCTTTTGCAAGACTGGTGCAGCTGTTTCGAAAGGAGGCCTTGGCTTTCTTGGCATGAGTTTGGTGGCTTGGGTCCTTTGCTATACAGACAATCCCAGTGGGACCTGTCTGCGGCTGACATGTAAGGCAGATGACTGTGGAAACCTTTAGAAGTAGCCAAGTCCAACCTGTGAAGAATGCAGCTGCTTCAGGGTTTCAAAGATGCAGTACTTGATTCACATGAATGGCTTTGGAGATTCTTTCAAGAGCTTTCCATTTCTCCTCCCTCTCCTCTTTCTTTTCCTTCTTTCTTCCTTCTCCTTTCTTCTGTTCCTTTTCCTTCTTTCTTTTCCTTCTTCCCCCTTCCTCCTCCTCCCCTTTCTTCTTTTTTCCTCCTCCCTCTTTCCTTCTCTTCTCCTTCTCTTTCTTTTACTTCTTTTCTCTTCCTCCTCCTCCTTTCCTTCTCTTATCCTCCTTTTCCTTCTTTCTTTCCCTTCTTCCTCCTCCTCCCTTCTTTTCTCCTCCTCCGTCCTCTTTCCTTCTCTTCTCCTTCTCTCTCTTTCCCTTTTTCCCTTCCTCCCCCTTTCCTTTCCTTCCTTTAATTTCTTTCCCTCTGCTTCCCCTTCCTTTCCTTTCCTTCTCCTTCCCTCCTTCCTCCTTTCCTCCCCTCCCCTCCCTTCCTTCCTCCTTTCCTTTCCTTTCACAACCGTCATAAATAAGAGTCAGTTGCCAAGCATCTGAATTTTGATCAACTGACCATGGGAATGCTGCAACGGTTTTAAGTGTGAAAAAAAGCAGCCCTAAGTCACATTGTTTGGTGCCATCGAAATGTCGGTCACTAACCAAACCATTATAAGTTGAGGACTGTATGTACTGGTTGTGGGGGAGGGCGAGGGTATTTTTCTTTAAACCACTTGGATCAATTGGCACCCATTTTGGCATAATCCCCTGTAACTTTGTCAATCAATAATCAGGACTATCCTCCGTCTTTATTTCTCGCAGATGAATACCGGTGGTTGTGCATCGAAGGCCTCCCCGTCGTTCCGGGATTCCCTGGCACCTTTCCGGGCCTTCCCAGCTTCGGTCCCAATGGAGTTGGGCCGGGGATAAGTGGCCCTGGAGGTTTTGGACCCAATGGAGCCAACGGACAAGGGGGCATCCCTGGATTGCCAGGGACGGGCCCCGGGAGTTCCAGCATCGGTGAGAGAGGGCGCCTTGTTGAAGAAATAGAGGGCGGGGGGGCGGGGCCTTCAAAAATTTTTAGCAACCGGTTCTCTACCCCAGGGGTCCCCAACCACCGGTCCCCGGACCGGTACCGGTCCGTGGATCATTTTGTACCGGGCCGCAAACTTTGCTTGGGCGCCGCCATCTTGTTTCAACGGCGCTTGAGAAAGTGCTTCCAGGTGAGCTTGTCGGTCGTCAGTTGGAAAGCAACGTTTGGGTGCTGAGGGAATCCTTGCGCCTTAGTTTAGGGGGGGGCGGCTTCGAACGAAGAGCCGTCCCGATGGCGGTGGAGTCTCGCGTTACTCAGGAGGAGATTAAGAAAGAGCCCGAAAAGCCCATCAACCGCGAGAAGGTACAAAGGAGGAGTTGAAGGTGGTGGGGAGAAGCGGGGGACGGCTGGCTACCGGCTGGCTACCGGGCCGCAAAGAATGAATAATCGTGAAACTGGTCCCTGGTACAAAAAAGGTTGGGGACCACTGCTCTACCCGGTTGCTGGGTGGGCGTGGCCTAGTTGGCCTCCTGCACCACGGTGGGGGGGGCTGTTTTCGCTCTCCCCGGGATCCGGAGGCTTTCCTCGAGTCTCTGTGAGGGTGAAAACGGCCTCCCCAGGCTCCGGAGGCCCTCTGGAGGCTGGAAACAGGACCATTTCCGGCCTTCCGGAGCCTCTGTGCAGGCCTTTCCCTTACCTGAGACCCAAAACAGGCTGTGTGGAGACTCCTGGGAGGGGAGGGGAGGGGTGGGCAGGGTCAGCCAGGGGTGGGATTTGCCGGTTCAAACCGGCCATAAAATTAGCTACCAGTTAGCTACGGATTTGCCGGGCAAACTGGTAGTAGCCCACCCTGAAAGAAAGGGGGTTAAAATCTGGGTTTCTGTGCCCGATGGGTACCAGCTGAGGTCTTTGGCTGCCGGGCAAACCCTCAAAACAAGTTGCACCCAAATTGGCACCTTGGACTCAGGCTGCAAGAACGGAGGTTCTTTCCCAGGGTTCAAAGCACCCCAAATGCCATCTGGCTAAATCGTCTTGCATGCCATCCAGATGTGGGACTCAAACCAAGTTCCATCGACGAACAGGGCCCAAAGGAGGAGGAAAATTGGGGAGGGCCTTCAGGGAGGGTGCAAAATTTGACTGGGATTTGGAAGACTCCCTTCCTGGGATGTTCGTCTAGCAAGCAATCCTTCCCATAGAGCAGAGTTTCGCAACCTGGACCGATTTCCGAGCTGTGGACTTCAATTCCCACAATTCCTTGGCGGGGGGAATTCTGGTGTCAATTCGTAAAACATGTCTATTCCTGATTTAGGGTTGCCATGAATGGATGGGGGGAGAAAGATTTGAAGGAGCAGTGCAGCCGTTTAAAACCAAAAGTGCATTTCATTCCTATCTTGCAAAGATTGTGACTAAGCTATTGGAATTTCTGCCCGAAAATCCCTAATTGGAGAATGTGATTGATGACTCTCAGCTATGAACGTGTTTCATTGGAGAATATGAATTATGATATACCCAGAGGACTGGGGGGGGGGGGAAACCAGGATCATAGGTGATAGTGAATTACGTGTCTCAGAATCAGCTTCAAACAGGTCGTGCCGACACGTTCGCTCCTAATAAATCCTTTGAAGTTTTTGAAACTTGGCTCGAAGCTCATGATTTAATTAGGGCAACTGCCGGAATCCTGACAGTTGAAGTTCACCCCTCGGAAACCGCTCCAGGTTGACACCTAGAAAGTCACGGAGACCTTCGTAGATTAGTGTCTTCCCAAAAACTCTGCCATGTTCAGGTTGCTCCCCAAACCCCATAGATTTCTGGACCCCCCCCCCCCAAAAAAAAACAGTGGACCCCAATTTGTCAAGAGGTTGCATCCCAAGTTGCCCTCTGCTTGTCTGTCTTCTGAACCCCAATTACATCCTGGAGGACCGGATGGGGAAGGCATCTTGTTCAGTTTTAGGGGGGTGCCAGAAAGGGGCATCTCTTCTACCCACTGGCATATCTGCCAGGGCTTGAGGTCCTGCCTTGTCTTTTGGGGTGCACCCCATGGAGGACTTTGGAGACAAGTCATGAGGATATCATGGGGTGGACAGGGACATTTGTTGGATAAATGATTCTCCCAGTTTGGTTTAACTGTGGTTCATATCGAGCTGAGATTTTGAGTTGCCCTGTGGACGTCACCTGAGTCTGCTGGAAAGGAGGGGGGAGGCTGAGCTAAAGATAGAATAGATAGATAGATAGATAGATAGATAGATAGATGGATGGATGGATGGATGGATGGATGGATGGATGGATGGATGGAT